GTTATCTCGCATATCGCAGTTATCATCAATGGAGAGAGAGAATTATAGTTAAAACTCATATAATTACTAGGATGGATCAAATATAAATGAGACTTGTTCAAAAATTATTTATTCGATCAATACACGTGAAAACTAATACAAAATTATTTTTCTGCATGGCATCCACTAATGTTCACATATTTTTGCTATCGCAATGACAGTTTTTTCATCCCTGCTTCATAAAAAGTAGCAGGACGAGTACAAAGTCAATTATGCACGAAGTCTTCCACCTCATTATAATATTGGAATATGACTGCAGCGAGTTCCCATGAGCCTTATCCGTTTATTTTATGTTTATATTTCCTCTTTAAATTTTGTTGTTGTTCAAGCACGTCGTTTGTATCTGTGACTTTTATTCGTTGCGGCCAGAGTTTTCCAAGCCTCTTTGATAATTTACAAAGCGTTGGTCTGCCATCCGTCCGTCACTAAAAAATATTCAGCTACACGTGAAATTTTTAATTCGTGCACACTTGTCCCCTTGAAGTTTTTGGATATTTTTGCGATCTTACATATATATACAAATTAATCTTATATATACAAATATTTACATAGTTTTGAACATATTTTTGTAAAACAGTCATAAAACTAACAAAAACAGTCCGTTACCTTTAAGATATTAAACCGCGACAATATATGTTTGTTGTATTTATCTGTTTTGTTGTACCTATATGTTCGTTGTACTTTAGAGAATCACACGATGGAACCTAAATACCTATCGCCCGTTAGGCGTTTGCACGCTTGGCGCGCGCGCGCGCGGAGGCGAGATAAAACGCACGCGGTCCACGTTGAGGTCGCGGCGCGTGAGATCGCTGCATGTTACGATGGGGAAAAGAAGGTGGAGAGAAGGAAGTGGAGGAAGACGAGGCTCTCTCATGGTGCAACGTTCGTTTGCACGCTCTCGCACCTGACTCAACTTCTCGCCGCACGTATACACGTACACACGTACACACGCGCGCACACGTGTTTACGGTATTTGATCGTCGTTCACTTAGCACGGCCCAGTGACCCGTATAACCTAAGGTCTGCTTATGATCGAGAAGGTTCCCGTGTATCTTTCCCTTAACAGGACGGTATAGGATCCCGCGTTGCATCTCATGGGGATCGTCCCGGTAGTAATAGCACGAATCGTGCTCGGTAACGATATTCAAATCAATACGCGAGTGATTTTTTTTTTTTTTAGTGCTTGATTACTTTCTTCCACTTTATATCGATATCTGATCTGTGAATCGAATTTTATTAACGTGAGAATTCATCATATTATAACAGGTCTTTCTTGTAATTCTTTTCGTTGTAAATGTTTATGATTTCACGCGAGTCTCTGTATATAAAATCTTTTATAAGTTTATTCCATGTAGATGTAACGCGCCGTCTTATTTGAAATTTATAATAAACATGTTTTTCGCTTATAAAAAATAATGTTAAAAATATTACATTTTAATAAATAGAAAATTCGGAAAGTCGTATTTTCAAGTGCCAAGAAGTATATCTGCAAAGAAATTCAAGAGAGAAGCGAGAAGGTAGAAAGGAAGGAAATAAGAAATGTATTACGATAATAATGAGGTGCTCATCGCGTGTTTCGCCTCTTATGGTTCCGGAATGCGTGCACGATGTCGAGAGTGATTTCCTCCGCTAATGCCGAGTATGCAACTCTAGCGTGATGATTTACAGCAATAATTTTGCAACAGGCGCGAGGTGCACGTTTTGCTCTCTCGCGCGCGATTTAGTTTTTACTTCCCACGTCCGTGCCTCGCACGCGCGCTGCTCGACAACCGATACCTACTTTGGATATCGATACGATGTCAGTGGCCTCACGCTTTTCGATAGAATCCACATGCCGAAAAATTCGTAATTGGGTTGAGCGTCACGCTTCGGTTGCATCACGGGATGAAATATTCATACGCGCTCGCTTGTTAAATACCGGCGACTTTAATGCATATAATTCTCCCGATGATAATATATTCGAATCTTTTTATAGAACCGGCACGAGTATGTACATTAGTTAGCGCGTGATTTAACTTTCATTTCCCACGTTTGCTTCGCCGATCGATAACTCAATGTTTGAAGACGAAAACTTGCAGAAACATCAATGCTTGTCTGATATATTTGCATCGATGAAAGAATATCAAACTCTAACGGAAGAACAATTATCATTAATCATTTTATGATATTTTTACTTTTAAGTTCGAAATTATTTTTTAACGGAGTTTTATATATTTTTTATATTATTGGTCGCACGTACATATTATTTTTTATTATTTTATATTACTTTTATATTACTTTTGTAAAGTATAAGGATATGACGTTTTATAATATTCTCATATCTTTTATTATCGTTACACAGGACATGTTATGTTCGGCTAATTTAAACATTCAGGCGTTTAAATGGACATTGCACGAGGCATAAATACCACTTCTAATCTATACAATGCACATCCGCGTGTCCATTTCTCGCATATTTACCTAGAAATCGCGGCGGTGTGCGTGCTTCTCGGGCACGATTTATGCGTGAGATTAATCCTACCGTACAAGATCAAAGTCGATACGCGAAAATCGCTGCTCGCTTCTATATCCACCATCCCACAAATGGTTTGCGCATTCGAAGACCCGCGTGTTGTAGAGCCGTATGTGCACGACATTCGATCGTTGGCTCACCTAACGCGGCCCAGTGACCCAAATAAGACACTGTTTGCTTATGATCGAAGCGGTTTCCGTTTCTCCTCGGGCCCAATCGTGTTCTTTGGCGAGGTCTACCGGCAGAGGCGGTGTCGCTTTCTTCCTCGCTTCTTTCTCTGATGATCGTGTATATAATTATGTCCATACTTACTTCGAATAATATCAGATATTATTTTATCTTTAGATGAGAATTTTTGAGATTGCAAAAAGCAGTGATTTAACTTTTAAGATTGCTTTTTATCTAAAAAAATGATATTGTATTTTTTTTTTATAAATAATATTTCAGATTGATAATGTTCTTATGTTTGCAGAGAGAGCTTGATCCGTAGATTTAATTTTAGCCACGGTCTTTCATAGCAAAGTTTCTTTTTGTTGCACTCTCTCTTCTCTCTTCTTTCAACAATTTTCTAGGCTCGTTCTTGTCTCCTTCCCTTAGCAATGCATTCTACTCCGCGGCTGCTGCCGTTAATTAACCCCGCATATTTTTTGCCGGCCGGTACGTCATGACACGTCGATTAGCCATTTATCACGCACGACGTACACATAGAGACGGTCTAATTATCAGCAAGATCTTCGATGTACGCGTCGTACTTGTAGATTCTTTCGAGGAGACACGCTTCGGCCTTCGATGGTATGCGTTTGACAGGTGAAACTATCGCGACGAGGAAACGCAAAGTGCCATCGAGCCAGAGATCATATATGAGCTAAATCGGGTAAATGAGGTTAATCTTTAATTTAAAAAAAAGATAAATAGTATATTAAATTAAATGAAACTATGGAATTTATCTTATTATATGATCAATTTTTATTCTACGTAACGGAGAATAATGATAATAATTATCGCTACTATTTAGAATGTTTTTATAATTTTCTTTCATTCACACAAATGTATAAAATCCAGAAATAGATATTTATAGTATATTTTGACATTTTCATATTAAATCTATTACATACTATAATTTTTTTTTCTGTAACTGTCCAATGCTATAAATGTATATCGTTCGAGTCATCGTGCAGACAATTAATATGTTCACCAAACAAGCATTAAGTTGTCATAAGCAATAATTCGTCCAACGATACGTCCATCGTTTGTTTGAGGGTTCTGGAGCATGACGGAAAATGTGGCAATGCTGAGCGAGAGCACGCGTTCGATATGGCCCGATCGTTATCAAAGAATCATTTCTGTCCTGCCATCACGATTATGTCATTAATGAGGATCGTGCGATTGCGTAACGAGAGATATCGCGAGCATCGGTAGAGATTCTCTTGCAGAGCAATTGCATAAGACATGACTAATCACGACGGGAGTCATCGATCGACGAGTAACCGTATTATATCTACATTGAAATGGAACGACACACATATATCTTTCATAATCCGCGGATGTGTGTATCCCGTGTAACTATCATAAATAACTCTTCTGCGGCTGCCAAGTCAGGGACAGCCGCACCGGAGATCCTTAATTATCCGGCGAATTCGGATGCGCGCGGCGATTATTCACTGTCCAACTGTACTAAATACCGACACAACGTTCTCACCACGTCGGGCGAAATTGTGTGCGTCGTTTCACGAGAATGGTCCCGCGTTTTAACCGTTGCTCGATATAAGTCCGCCCATCATTTTACAAGAGCCTCATTTTTCTACCCTCAATACACTTAATATTCAATGTTAATGATACGAACATAGCGGGTATAGCTATTAAAAGAGGAATAGAATATGTTTTCTCGCGAATATTAGTGTATTTAGAAGAAAATCTTCGAATTTTCGAGAGAAAAAGAGAGAGTATAAAAGAGTATAAAATTATACTATTATGTCCAACGTAAAATCTCTTCAATTTTTTTCAGGACCGGTTACGCTTTAAAATATCATTTGATGTGCATTGAGTTTTGTCTGCAACTTACTCGACAGCTCATTCAAGAATACGGAAGCAAAGCAAGCGAAATAAAGTGCGAATGAAAGGCAGACCATCAACTGACAACTACATTTCTCTGCTTGTTATTCCATCACTTTTATTTCCGAAACTAATGTCGAGAAAAATAATCGTAATAAGATATAAATGAATCGGTCTTGAATGAGCTAAATATTATTGAATATACTTCCTCATTTTCAAAATTATCAAGACCGGTATTTGTCAATCATTTAACATATGTACGTTGTTTCACTAAATAAATTTTTAGAAATTTCTCTTAACTAAATTTTTAAAACTAATTTCTAATCTTTGACTGCCGATAATATTGTACAAAAACTAAGAATATTGTTCTAACATTTGACTTTTCTTTTTATTACAGATACTGTCCTGGCTTTGCAAGAAAGGCGAGGACATTCTGTCGAAGCACGCACAGCACATAGCGACGAACTTGGCGTCAGCGCGGCTTCACGAGCGCGAATTCGAGAAATTTTATTTCACGTCGATGGTAAGTAACGCGTAACGTTGATTGTCCCATAGCGGTTAATGGAATTAAAAGGAGAGCCCCAAGAATTGAGTCGCTCTCCTAAGAGACGATTTCACTTTTTTTCGCGACCCATTGAGAGTCGCCTGTCACGCTTCGATGCGAAAGAAATTCCGTCGAGGACTCAAAAGGCGATTGCAATAAGCGCGAGATAATAAAAGATTCCTTTGTGACAGGCGAACTGTTGCAAAGACCCCTGCCAAGTGCGCGCGCGCACTCGTTCATCTTTTTTTTTATTTATCTGCCAACTGAGTGAACGCGGTTAACGCGGAAGAAGTCGTGACGAAATCAAAAGAGAAGGAGGCGAAAATGATTATTTCTCTTGCACCTGTGTAGTCTTAATATGGTCAGATCGAAAGCGCGTCCTTAAAATGAAATAGAGGACGGTAAAAGACAGGACGTCCACTGAGACAACTTTAGCTATATATTCATTCCCGCGGAATGTCCGCGCAAATTAAAAGTAACTGCAGGATCAAGGGAAGGGTTTTATTCCGTCGCGTTTGGACGGTATCTCTCGCTGGTTAATTCGTGGAAGTGAAATATGCTTGAAGACGGTGGTCTTTATGAGACGTGCCCGGTCATTCGTTTGCATTAATTATCACTGTTCCTCGAAGGCGTGCCACGTGATACGTGCATCGTCAGCGCATAACATGATATCTTCAAAAATATAACCGACGTGATTTTGTTCGGCGATTCATTTATTATACACCAATTTGTAGTATGCAAATTGTCAGGTACACATGCATGGTTTGTTTCTTAGAAAAAAGTAAATACATGAAATATTTCATTGAAAATGTTTGTAAAAGTTGTCACAGAGTTACGCTTTCAACTTTTCCCATATTTTGCTCGAGTATACTTACATTAAATTGTCTCATTGCTTACAATTCAATAATTAAAATGATAAAATGTTATAATACAGTAAATTATTATTAATTCCTTTATGTTGTTATTTTTTCTGAGACAAAAAGATAATTTTTGGAATTTTTAAAATTAATTCTGAGAGAAATTAAGCCACATACGATTTTCTTCAAATTTCTTGTAAATAATCGTGGCAATGTACTGTTAACTATGATAACCATGCAACAGATCACTGTATTATCTACCTACCTGTCTACCTGCTTAGTCTAGTAGTTAGGTACCTAACTACCTAACTACAACCTGATCTTTCTACAGTCGATAACAGATTTTTTATACGTAACATTTCAAATTTATATCGTTTCTTTACAACATTCTTTTATATTGAAATAATTTTTTAATTCTACAAAAATTATGTGGGATTAACGATGGTTATCATTAAATCGTTTTATGCACGTTTGATTGTCCAGATTCTGATCGGTAAGTCAATCGACTAAAAGCGTGGCGCCGCCTGCTGAGGTTTGCTTCGAGTGTTTCACAAACCGACATAGTTCTTGACGACTCTTACCATGCGTGGCGCGTAAATTAGAATCGTTCGAGAACTTTATGTGCGCCGTAAATAGCGGCAATTATTTTCCTCCTGACACCCGCCACCTAGTTAATTAGAATCTCTCCGGCACCGTGTAATGAGCCGATCCGATCGTGGCCATTAATTTACGGACATAGGGGCCGTCTTCTCGAATAAGTTCCGCAATTAGAGTCGCATATATATCTACTATCAGCTAAACCGAATAATGGAGAATTGACTAACACTCTCGCAGCGAGTGAAACTCGAATCTCCATTACTATAAGTGAGTACCGATGTCTTTTCTTATCAATCGATAGCGGGACAAAGATTGATGCCTGCGAGTGCTTGCTTCCGTTCTTTGATAACGAATATTGATGAAACTTGTTCTCTCGACCCGCAAACTTTGTGGTTTTCTCGTGATTTCTCGAAACTTTCTCAAAGTTACTGATATATGATTTTTCCTGAACAATTTTTAATTTTCCATCGGCGATTAACTGGAATCATCAAGTTGCAATTAATTTTGTCGTAAATTCTTTTCTTTTATGTATTTTATTTTCTTTTATTATTTGCGCGGAAAGTATTTACTTTTCTTTAAGTTCTTCATAATTGCGATTTTATTTTCATAGAAATAACATAAAGTGAAAGTACGTTCAATTTGTCGACAATAATTACTAGTTACATGTATATTCATATCCGTATTCATACAGTTACATTGCAAGTAAACTCGATAATATTCAAAGGATGGTGAAAAAATAAAATAAAAACTGTGTGACCAGACGTCATACATTTTCGTTTGGTTAATTACACGCGATTATGTGAAATTTGGCGTAGCAATTAAAGGGGCACGAAGATGTATTAAACGTTATGTTACGGAGCATTACGCGACGAGTCACAATTTGGCGCGATAATAACATGTTGGTCCTCGAGCGGTATCACATCGTGGAAAATTTATTGCGAACGAAATCGGCCTTCCGCGAGTGTATTTTTCCTTCTTGCGAAAGACTAAACTTTCTCTCGGCGGCGACATCCAAGTCTGCGCAGACAGTTTCAGGGCACAATAAAGGTTCGATGATCCAACATGGACAGTTGTTACTTAATTAATCAGTTTCACGGCGATGCGAAACGAACGATCAAGCGAGATATAAAAGCCAGCTCGGCCTGTCCAACGATCGATTGTGCAGGACATTAATTAATCACGTTGCACCCACTTCAATTATCCGTTTTATATAGGATGCTCGAGCGCGCGTTGCGTCATTATCCAAAAACGTACTTATCCCTCGTATTTTCCCCCATTTTCCTCTTGCTTTTTTATTTTCTTTTTATCTCTTTCGCGGCCTAATGACCCCCATTGCGCTTCCTACACGCTGTCATAATTGTCACCGATTATTGCCGCGATGGTCGAAAAGCATATTATTTGGGTCATCTTGACGGAACTGGAACGAAATTATTGGCGATTTATTATTGGAACGATCCGCGTTTCTCGATCCTGCACGACGAGCAAACGGTATATGGAGCATCGAGTAATTACACGACGAAGTTGTTCGACGAAGAGTGATCAATTGAAGCCGCCATAAGTTTAATGGCGATGAAAATTATCGTTCGTCCAACTATTTCAAAGAGACGCGATATCGTTGCAGTGTATCTTAAGATAATAATTAGGACTAATTTATCTTACATTACGCGTTATGGACCTAAGGTCGGGCTAGTTTGCAGTTATTTCAAATCTGTCTCGATTTTTTTCTAGCGGGTATCGCGTGCAAATATTCGTGACAATAGATAATACGCGCACTAGTTGATAAGAAAAGTAAAGGTCGTCGTATACTTTGAGTGAGATAAGCGTCGAGAAATAGCCCGTCGAACCGCAATCAAAGTACAAACGTTTTTAAAATTGCGACGGAGTACAATGGGACAGGATATAATGTCGAGGAATCGTCAAGGTATTGTCAAGGTAGGCTCGTAACAATGTATACGGTCGTTCTCGTAACCCAATTACATTGCACACCATAGACGGAAAAGACGAAGAAGTCATGCCAAGAATAAGAACGAAGTATTATGTTGCCACCTATAACGGCGACGATCGCAACTCGTTAAATCAGTCAAAGTTCCATCATTTAGAAACCGCTATCTTTACTTCACGAATCAAAGTACGATAACGGGCGATTGTTGTTGAACATCCGACGTTGAGTTTAATGTACTCCGAGGAATTTGGTGAAGTTTGATCGGATCTTGAAGATGGCAAAACTCTTGCGATTGAAATGTAACTCGATGTAAAGGAAAATAGAGTCTAATTCATGGTACACTTTGCCAATAAACATTCGATTGATTACTTTAACTTACAGATTGGAAAAAAAAAATTGAGATAGAAAATAATCTTGAATCTAAATCAAAGAAATAATTAAAGACTAAGAAGCACATTTAAATAATATCAAGGTTATCTCCCCCCTCCCCCAATTAATTGTATAAATGTATAACAAACATAAACGCTAAATTAGATGTGTAGTTATACAATTGAATTTTGAGAAAGTAATAAAAAAACGCGTATTTAAAAAAATATTTTATTTTTATTACTATAATTTGTTAATATAATTTAATTTTATAAATAAAATGCAATTTTTAATCTAATCTTATAGATTGATTCTCTGATTTATAAATTTACCAGCATACTACATTTTATAAATATTCTTCTTTTCTTATAATGGATCAACAATACTATAATATTTCGTATTAATATCTGCGCATGAAAGTTATTCGCCGAACGATTACAATATTACATCCGGTCAAACAGCTTTTTGATATCATCGGGGTCGTGTCACGAATCGCGATCGGCAAATCAGTTTTAAAATCTGATTGCAAAAGCGCAAATCGGCACAAGGCGGTTATGGTTGTTAGTTCGCCGTATTCTCTTAACCGGGATGCAACTTTCCATCATAATCGGTAGTCACGCGATGATCAAGGCGACGATGCTGTCCGATATCTGATGTACCGCATAGTCGAAACATCCTTTTCACAATATTTTAAGTATTTTAAAATCAAGAAGAGTTGCAATTACCGAACTACTTAATTTGCAATTTTCATTCTCCAATCGAGATTTAGTCGAAACTGCATAGCATCAGATAGTTAAATATTCTGATAAGTTTAAGAGTTATATCTCAAATTAATGCTATGGAAACAGAAATTAACAAACAAGTTTAATTGTAGAAAGTTAATGTCAAAATTAATCCTTTATTGAGTAATCGTTGGCAAAGTTTTCATTTATTATAGCTTTCACACAAAAATACGATAATGTAAATAAATTTTTAAGAATTCCTAATATTTTAAACCGTCAATTTTAATAATTTTATTCTATAACATCTGTGTTTATAAAATAAAAAGATAAAGGAACGTCTTCCTAGTTCGATTCAATTACTTACGATCGTCCGGTATATCAATGAATTTAATCGAGTGTGTTTATTAGGCACTAAGTAGCTTTTGTAGAGGCACATGGGGTGCTCTTTGCATAGTCTCCAATTTTATTATCCCAATTTTTTATTGTGTCCTTTGT